GTTTCAAACTCATACTGGGTGCATGTGTGTTCATGCCCAAAATCCCAAGAGGAGAATGGAGAAGAAAGGACCAGAGTATGGCTACGCTCCCAGGGGGGTGATTTCTCACCGCTTGTCTTTTCTCTCTTGGCGAGCACACGCACCCTATGGCAAAAATCTCTTAATTTAACTACAGAGAAGAATGAAGCTAATGCAGGTGTGAGGCGCTTCTACCAAGGACTATGCCATGGAATAACAAAGAATTAGAAATACCAAATCTATATACAGCAGAGTAGAAATGAAGTTTCAGGGCCACCTGGTGGCATGATGGTTAAGGTGACTGGATAACACAGGGCCGAATGCAAGGTTAGAGTCCTGCCCCAGAGGCTTGAAAAACAAACTAGGCACGTAGGTATGTGCCCCAAATTCCAAAAGGAGAGAGAAATAGAGGGGGACTATAGTGTGACCACCCCCAAGGGGGCTGCTTTCTCACTTTTCCTCTCCCCTCAAGTACACATGCTCTCTAGCAAAATCACCCCCAAAAAAGTTTCAAGGTGAATGATTTGTGATAGAGAATTTTTGAATTTCAGGATCTTAAACAGAAGTTAAGTAGAATAGAAGGTAATATACCTACACAAGTTAAAGAGGAATATTAATGATTTAAAATACCACTATGTAGGGCTAAGAATGGAATATTTGATTCACATATTTTAGTTAGGATATGTCTCCAAAAAATAGTTTACCATGTTCAAACTGAAATGCAATAGAAATATACTAAACCATGGGACCAGCAGTTAGCATAATGCTATATCGCTGGACTCCCATGTAGTCGACTGCGGTTCGCATCCCAGACCCGGGCGTGTGCGTGCTTGCCCAAGATCCGGAGAGGATCACCCCCTGGGGGGTGATTTCTTGCTTTCTGTCTCTCTGTCTCTCTGTCTGTCTGGCGAGCATGCGCGCCCTATAGCAAAAACCTCTCCAAAAAAAAAAATATATATATATATATACACAGAAAACCATATAAACATAATACACTTTAAAATGTCTTATTAATTATTATTATTAATTATTATTTAATTACCAGAGGCCATGTGTATTCACCAGGGAAAGAAACACCCTGAATGAGGTGTGGCCATACAATTCTCTTCTCATTTCTCTGTTCCTCTGGATTTGGGGTATACATACACCTGCACCCAATATGTCTGTCAAGTCTCTGGGACCAAGATTTGAACCCAAAGTAGCGTGGTCCCCTCAATTGCTATACTATGAGGCTAGTCTTTAAAATGTGTCTTTCAAGGGGTCAGCAGGTGGCATGGTGGTTGAGGTGCTGGATTTCACATGGCTAAACGAGCTCGAAACCCAGGGGTTTGAAAATTACACTGGGTACATGTGTGTGCAAGCACAAAATCTTAAGAGGAGAATGAGGGAGAAGGGATCACAGAGTAGCCATCTTTCTAGGGGGTGATTTCTCAATCTCTCTCTGTCCAGTGATCACACTTGGTCTAAGGCAAAAATCTTAATTAAAAAAAAAAAAATATGTTTCTGAGCTAGTGAAAGGAGAAATAGTGAAAGTGAGTTCTGAGTTCTAGTCCTTGACCTGATTGCTGGTTGCAAGATTTGTTAGGTTGGTGAAAAATCAGCAAGTGAACATCAATGTTAAACATACTTTTATATATGCTTAATGTACTTTTAATGTTCTTCAACAAGTCAGGAAAAAAAGGAGAAACCTTTAGTCAATCAATGTAAAATAATGAAGATATAAAAGGTGTTCACAACCAGACTTAAATCTTTATAGACTCTCCCTGTCTACTACAAACAGTTGGCAGGGGAGAGGAACAGAAAATTAAATTTACTCCTTTAGAATTTTTGAATATTTATGCTATAGATAAATAAGAGCTTACATTTCATATAATCTTTCCTTTCTTTAAAAATCTTTAATAATAGGACCAGCAGGTGGTATGGTGGTTGAGGCACTGGACTCCCACATGGCCAAACATGGTACAAATCCCGGAGCTGGTGGCTTGCTTGCTCACTTTCCCTGTCTGTCTCTCTCTGGTTAAAGTAATAATAATGATGATAAATGAAAATTAAATAAATAATTCTAAAAAAAGTCTTTAAAAATAACTTATTCAGGAAATGACAGATGTTCTTAACCAAGCTTTTCCTATTATGTTAATATCATGAAATATTTAATTTGTTAAAAAAATGTGGAAAATGGAACATTTTAAAGCTACGGAAAATAACAAGTGTGTTAGCAAGGATGTGGGAAATGTGAACACTTGTGCACTATTGGTGGGAATGTAAAACGGTGCAGCTGCTATGGAAAACAGTATGGCGATTCCTTAAATTAAACACGGATTTACCATATGAACCAGAGATTCCACTTCTTGGCATATTCCCAAAGAAACTGAAAGCAGAGTGTTGGACATATTTGTACGCCAAGTTTATAGCATTATTCTCAATAGTCAAAAGGTACACTCAATCCAATTACTATTCAACCTTAAGGAGGAAATTCTGACACATACTACAATATGGATCTTGAGGTCGTTATACTAAGTGAAGTAAGCCTGCCACAATAAGACAAACTCCGCATGATTATACTACATGAGGTATCTGAAATAGCCAAATTTAAAGAGACAGAAAAATAGATTGGTGGTTGCCAGGAACTAGGGGAAGGAAGTAGTGGAACAGTTATCATTTAATGGATATGGAATTTAAGTTTTGCAGGATGCAAATGTTCTGGAAATTGGTTGCACAATAATATGAAGTGGACATAACAATACTGAATTGTACAGTTAAAAAGGGTTAGAATGGTAAATTCAACGTTAGGCATATTTCATAATAATTGAGACTTTTTAAAAAATCTGAAAACAGTCACACCATTTACAGTGCATTTTCTTTTTCTTAAAAATAATTATACATTTAATTTTATTTATCATTATTATTTTTTATTTTGCCATAGCGCACATGCATGTGAGAAAGAGAGAAAGGGAAGAAGAGGATGCAAGCCACCAGGTTCAGGACTCGAACGGTGGTTGGCCACGTGGGAGTCCAGCACCTTAATCACACTACCCGTTGGCCCTCTAAAGTGCACTTCAAAACAAAGTAAAAACTATCATTTGACTTTAAAAACTGTAAATAAAAATATTTACCCACAAGTAAGATGTTTTACTTAACTGCAGGTTAAGTAAAAAAAGCTAAGCATTCATATACAGTCTAACCTACAGTGGACATCTTAGATTAATAAAACAGACTAAAGCATAAAACCATAATTTACAAACAAAAGAAAATATGTTGCCTAAAAGTCAAATGTACATGAGTTTCAAGATGAATGGAAGAAAGAGTTGTAGTGAGGGTGCCTACAAAAATGAGCTATAGGGACCAACAGTTAGCGTAATGGCTATGTCACTGGACTCCCATGTAGTCGACTGCAGGTTGAGTCCTGGATCTGGTGGCTTAAACTCACACCGGGTGCGTGTACGTGCGTGCCCAAGATCCTGGGAGAAGAATGGAGGAGAAGGGACTGCGGCATGGCCATCCCCCCTGGAGGGGGTGATTTCTCGCTTTCTGTCTCTCTGTCTCTGTCTATCTGGCGAGCGCACGCGCCCCACAGTGAAAATCTCTCCCAAAAAAAAAAAAAAAAATCACTTTGCGAATTCTGTACACACTAATGAATAAATTTGACGTTTTGCCAAATCTAAGATTTCTAACTTTTCTTCTGACACTTCAAATTCTTTAAGTTACTGCTGCCTCTAGTAAACTCATCCATTCTTGTTTTAATCATTTTGAGTTTTCTCTTACTTTTTCACCAGTAACGTTCTTTTATACCAGTAACGTTCATGGAATATAAAAAAAATTATCTCTCAAACTCTGTCACTTCATTTCTCTTCCACAATCTGCTCTCACTCTTAAGTGCAGCTGGAGAATTTTATATCAAAACAGTAAAGATTCTGGTTAATTAAAGGTTTACAGGTTCAACTACAGCCTGGACTTAACCTTGACTTACCGTGCATTTTTACACTTATTTTAGTGACTCCTTAACAAGAAATGGTAATAGTTTCAGACCTCTTTCTCTAAGCTTTTTAATATCTGATTATCATCGATTTATAGCTTCACCACGCAACCTGCTTTAGAGAAAATTTCAGACTATCAACTTTCTGTCTTTATATCTACTTGTCCTTTTTCCTTCTGTCTTCAAAAGATAGTTTTCTCCATCACCAAAGCTAACTGCTACCAACGCCTAGATGCTACCTCTTACAGAACTTGTTAAGTATACGTACCCTTATTCTGAGTAGTCTGCAATTCCTTAACTAACAACTACCCCTGAGCCTTAAGGTATACCTGAGCATCACCTATAAGACAGCAACCAGTTTTGGGGTCAGCCCCACAACACAAGAGTTAAGACAGTAGATTCACATGGCTAAGGATAGGTCGAGTCTTGGCCCCAGTAGCCTGAAAAATGTGCCAGATACATATGCGTGTGTGCCCTAAATCCTGACAGGATGGAAAAGAACTGACCTGGAAACATAATCATACCTAACACTGATTTGAAAGGAAAATGCACCCGAGTTTCCACAAAATGCCCTACTGCATTTGACATGTAATCTACTCATAACCTAGAGTACGATGAAAATGAAAATCTGTTGACAAAGAGTATAACAAAGAAATCTGCATTTCAAAACCACACACGAAAAGTGTGAAAATAAAATGTCATAAGATCATTTTTTTCTATCAAGATATATTTTTAAGACCAAAAGTTTTTCAAATCCTAAAAAAGTGGCAATCATATTTTTAAAACGACATATCTAAAAATCAAAATAATTTAATTTAAAGCCTTCATTATCCCAATACTTTTGTCTCATAATTAAAAAGGAATCTAAACTTTTGAAATTTTGTGTGTATATATATATATATATATATATATAAACAATACCTATACCAAATTCATACAGCATGTTACCATACTTGAGGAAAATCAATTCCTAAAATTAGTTTGAGTTATGTATTTATTTCTCACTTACGTCAAATTAAATTTAAAATTAAACTGCCAAGTTGAAGTTCCTGGAGGGTACTCCCCTTGCTCATTCATAAACGTCAGTCCTAGCTGAATTATCTTTAACAAGTCTACGTTACACCGCAACAGTTGGTACTGATAGTCGGCATTGCTTCTGAATTCTCCAATGGGTCTTGCAACCACACCTGGAAACTCGGTGTCCTGTAAAACAGTTTTAAGATGCATTATTTACTACATGATCATAAACACAATCGCCAAATTCCAAGAATAATTTATGATGCCAAAGAATCCTGTTAACAGATACTATTCTACATATATATGCTCAAATACAAAATACCTTTTAACTGGGAAGAACATTACTTTTAGAACCATATCTATAAACTCACTGACCTTTTTTCACTCTAGATATACCAATAAAAAATAATCTTATCTATACATAAAATAAACATGAATGCAACCAAATATTCTATACCCAAGGAATGGAGGGAAAAAAAAAATCAAGTCTTCCTAGGAACACAAAACTATGCTTACAATATCCTAATACTAAAATCATGTTGCTGAAGAACCAGTTAAACAATGTAAAAAATGCACCATTATTCCACTTGCTTCTCTGAGACCGGTTTATATCAACACCAGAATAATTAGGAGCATCACTGGCCTCCTAATTTCTTTGGTTAAAACTACTTGGCTATTCACAGACTAGCTCTATAAAACTACAGCCCAGAAAGCATGTAGTCAGGAACTGCATGCTACCAAGTCATCTGTGTAGGATGTTACTTTGCTAAAGCTGCCACTCCTTATCTGAGAAGTAAATGATCCTTAATAATTCCCAATGGAGAAGACAAAACTGCAATTCTAACTACAGCTAAGTATACTTTATTAGAGATTATCTATGTACAAATACTCAAATTTTAACCAACTGACTTATCCCTCTGCAAAAATCATACTTATTTTTTATTTACTTATTTGTATTAAAAATACTCATAAAATGACATTATCAGTAGAATTCAAACTAGGGCTTGCTAAGAATAAAAACGCGTCAAGTCACAGCAGTGAAACAGTAGTGAAATCAAAACTTCTCTAAATTCAGTACAATTCATAAACCACTCAATTGTATACTACTGGGTTGTCGCAATAGTCATCACTTCGTTTTCCCCGCAAAAAATGCGTCGTGACTTTTCTGACAACCCAATATATGTTATGGTGGATATTGGTAAGAAAAAGGATAAAGAATATACTAATCTCTGGCATTAAGGAACTAATAATTTGGTTGATCTTAGAGCAGAGTAGCTGCAACAGATAAACAAGACACAATAGTAAAGAAGAAAAATAATTGAGATAGTTCAGGCAGACTGAACATCAAGTAAAAAAGCAGAGTTGATGAACAGTACAGTATGTTCAAGGAATTACCATTATAATTAAAAAAAAAAACTGCACTAACAATGTTTCAGAGGGAGATCTGATGTTTTGTTTTGTTGAAAAGACATCCAGGACCTCCCAGGCTTTTGAGTTCCCTGGTTCTAACCACCAGGCCTTGGTGTTCCTAAGCGCTGGCCCAGTGTTCTGTTGAATGTAAATAATTTCATAGAACTTCAACATCAGATAGGAAATCATGTCTAAATAAGGACAAAAAAAAAAAAAATCCAAGACACAAGAACGATCACATATCCTTTACCCTGGCTAAATGAGTGACTAGCACATCTCTGCAGCTTTAGTTTCACTCTAGTCTTTCTTTATTCCAGTTAAGAATGACTGATACCCAAGACTAGCAAATGGTGTAATGGTTATGCTGTTGAATTCCCAGGTAGTTGGCCGGGGTTCGAGTCCTGAACACAGCAGCATAAAACTCATGCAGGGGGGTGGGGGCAGCAGGGGGCATGGTAGTTGAGGCATTGGGCTCCCATATGGCTGATCATGGTTTGAGTCCCAGACCTGGCAGTTTGCTTTCTTACTTCCCCTCTCTCTTGTTGGTGAGTATATATGCCCTGCAGCAAACTTAAAATAACAATAATAAAGTTAATTTACGAAGAAATGAAACTCACACCGGCACATGTGTGCATGCTCAAAATCCTGTGAGAAGAATGGAGAAGGGATTGCATCATCCCTCCAGGAGATGATTTCTCACTTTCTGTCAAGTATGTGTACCCAATAGCAAAAATCTCTCTCTCTAAAAAAAATTATTGATAGCCAATCATAGGATCAGATTCTTCACAGCATAGAGTCCACAGCAAAGCCCGGCATCCCTAAGCCTTCCCTAAAATCGCCCAACATAAGCCTAAATTCTAAAGACCCTTTTAACACTCTCTTACTCAAATGCTCCATGATTCCCAATGAATTTTCCCCTGCAATGAGTAATAAACCCATGTGTCAAATTACAGGTGTGTTCCTGATGACTTCTGGTCGAAGAATAAAAATTTTTATCTTAATGATTAAATTAATCTCTAAAAATCAATGAGAAAACTTCAAGACTTCTGAAGTCCTTCTTCTTGCACTCTTTATAAGAAGCATTTTAAAGATTTGGTCACAGGCATACCATAGCAACGTAATTATATTTTCGGATAACTTGACGAATTTTCTTCATCTCTTCATCCAGGTTGCAAGCCCAAACTTCACAAATTCTTTGGCTATGATCTACAGTTGCTGCTGGCATAGTGAGGGCACAAGGGAGTCTAGATGCCAAGCATCAAATGTGATACTTGATTGAAGATGTGCTTCATAAAATACTTTATCCTTTACTTATGTACCTGTCAAAATAAAATCCCAGAATAAAACCCAGCTATATCAGAAATCTGAATCATAGAATAATTGAGCTGGTGCAAACATAAGAGGTTATTTACTCAAAGTCTTTGATTCAAAAGAAAATCAAAATTACAAACTAATTTGTCTGAAGTCATACAAATTACACAGATTTACAACACAGATTTCTTGGTTCTAATTTTCATTGTTACTTAAAAATCATGTTTGCTGGGTCAGCCTCATGACCTAGTGGTTGAGGGAGCTGGACTACATATGACTAGCCATGGTCTGATCCTGCCCTGGTGGCTTAAAGAGCATGCCAGGTAGCAGAATGCCCAAAGTCCAAATGGGATGCAAAAATGGAGGAAAGAGGTTTGTGGCATGATGGTGTTTCACTGGGGCAGGAGGGGGTGTTTTCTCCCTTTCCCTCTCTAGCTAAAGCATGTACCCCTCTGGCAATAAAAAAAAAAGTTTTTAATGTATATATAAATCATATTTTTAAAGCTCTCGAATAATTTAAGAGTCCTGCGATCTCAACGCACCCTCTGCATAAAGCTTTATGAAGCCATTCATTTCCAGATAAAAATTTGAAGTTTAACATTTGTATTTATAGCCATGTAACAAAATTAAATGTTACCATAACAAAGGTAGTGTTTACTAGTATCCCTCATGAACAAAACATTCGAAATTTGGCTTGATTACAAAATCTACTTTACTGACAATCAAGTCAGATTAGGGGGCCAAAAAAAGTTTTCAAGAAAAGGTTCTTTTGAAGAAATAAGTAAGTCACAGATAGTGTTTGAATGTTCATAACTGCAAGGAGGAGAAGGAAGGCAATACAATGTCTGCATTTGAATGTTTCCTTCTAATCTCCTAAAATTTGGGGCATTTTCCCTGGTTACTAAAGATAGATCTCGCGTTTCTAGTCGACAAACACAATGCTCAATGATAACAATACAAACCAACATATTGATTCATGGGCAGAGAAATTCCAAATGTCCCTTCGTTTTTCACACACATTTGGGGGGAAAAATCATAACAAGGGTAAAAGAGAAGGGTCTGTGGCCCATTTCTAAACTCAAAGAGTCAAAAATACAACCTTTAGTGCTCTAAGAACAGAAACCAGAGGAGATCCAGGACTCCACTCCTTTTCTCCTTCATAACTTTCCCCACCCTGTTACTTAAACACACACTCTCTCACTCTCTCTCTTCTCATGAAGACCCTGTAGTTTAAAACTGCTTTCCTCCACTTCTGCTTCTACTGCAGTACAAGAGGCCCCATAGGCCTTCTCGTGTCTGGAGATAGCATCTCCCCACTCCAGACTTCCCCAGAAACAAGAAGACCCTACAAAGTATTCAAGTCATAGACAATTCTTCTTGCCCGCGAACCAGGGCGAAGGTGCTAACATTTACTGAAGTCAGATCGACTCCCCAGCCCCGGTGCGTGAAGGGATTACGAGGAGCAGAGGATCTAGGCCACCGCCCTCCACTCGCGATTTCCGTCCCACATCGAAGCCCCAGGTACAAAGCCAGCACGTCATCACTCGGCGCCACCCCCAACTAGCGCCCCAGCCCCTCTGTCCGGATTAGGCTGCCCTCACCCCCAGCCACCAAGCTCTTTCCTCCGTCCGCCGCACTCAGCCGGTGCCACCAAGCACGATCTCGGGTTCACCGTTCCCGCCCCCTTCCTACTTCCCCAATGCGCCCCTCCCCCGCGGGTCTGGCAGACGCAAGATCTACTTGTGTTGCTGAGCTCGCGCTCCTCATCCTCCTCCTCGCCATAGAGACAGCACCCTGCGGCGGTGGCGGTGGCGGCAGCGGCGGCGGC